TATCTGGCTCGGCTTTCGCTTATCAAACGTTTGACTGCCAACCGTAGTTGCTTGAACTTGGCAATCAAGAAACTTGAAGACGAACTTCTCAGCTTTTTACGTAACGTTTCCTTCTTTCGAATCATATACAATATATGTCCGGTTATCCATGGTGGTGAGCGCTTGCCTTTTATCTTTCTCAAAGGAATAAAGTTACGTACTACGGCTATATACCTTTCTTTCCATTCCAACCAGGCTCTGTTTATATCAGTATTACTTTCCACGATGTTGGAAAAGAGTACGATAGTTTTTATGTCCAGTGTAGATCTCCGATCTTACGTAGCCCAGCATTTTAGTTGATTGAGCACATTGTTCCCATAGATATCTTATATACACTAGTGCATCTAATTATTCTGCAATTCAAAAATCGAAGCCGTGATTGCAGACTCAGGATATTCCCATGAAACTAGAAGACTCGTATGTTTTCTATTTCTTAAACAGGGAACTTAAACATTAATAAGTGAACCTATTCCAAATACATTTTCAAACTATTCAAATGATGAAAGTTATTGTTGTTTTTTAAGCGTTTATTAGCGAGTGGGAAACTCCAACATGGCCGCCATCTATTCAAATGGGGGTAACCGCTGGAATATTCTTGGCTTCAACTTTACTAAAATTGCCACGGAAGCAAACTCCCCAACAGCTTGTTTATAGGTTCTCTGTATGTTTGCATGGTGATAAAATATAATAGTTTTGTTTGTGGAAAAACGTGGTGTTTCCACAAACAAAACTATTATAGCTTGTTTATAATTTTTGGAGTTTTCTACTGCGAAACTTTGAAATACACAGGCGTGCAGAAATACATAAACTAAAAACAGCAGATTAAATTTAACCAAGGGTTAGAGCTAATCCAGATTTGAACAACCAGCCCGTGAGCTACAGAGTCCAGTTGTCGAGCTCTAACCACAAGTTCATGTAAATATACTTTATACAAGGTGATACCATTGTAAGGTACAGTGTTTGTGGGTATTGATATTTACCCATATACCTTATCATAGCCTCACCTTAGTATATATACCGGGTGTCCCCCAAAAAACTGGACATTGTTTGATTTCATGTAACGTAACAGCTATAAAAGCTATCGCAATGAAATAAAGATCATTGCATTCAGAAAGGGCTAGCATAAATTTTGATATATAGCACTTGAATTTACATGCAATATTGACTGCGTTATTGATGTTTGAACGTTGAACTACTGTTTTCAAAAATGCCAAAATTAGCATAAAACAACCTTATAATTACCGATGTAGTTACAGTATACAGTACAGTACTTGTCAAATAATAAATTTTATTTATAAAAATAAATAATATTTTTATTTTGGCTGTATCTAGCCTGTGTCCCAGTCAACTACGTGAAGTGGACTGGGATACAGGCTAGGCTGTATCTCGCTCAGTATTGCATGTGAATTCAAGTGTTATATATATATATATCAAAATCTATGTTAGTCCTTTCCGAATGCAACGATCGTTATTCCATTGCGATAGCTTTTACAGCTTTAACGTTACATGAAATCAAACAGTATCCAGTCTTTTTTTGGGACACCCGTTACATGAATTTCGAACTAACTATAGATTAACTTCTGGAGTATCACCTATTCGAAAGGACTTGACCTCGGACCTCATCTGGTAGAGCATTGGACGAGCAAGCCAAAGGTCGCGGGTATGATTCCCAACGCGGTGAAGGAATTCTTCAGAGCAACGTCAACAACGAAAAATATACGGGGTGTTTCCACAAACAAACAAAAAAAATCCAGTTGGAATTCATATTCAGCTTACAAATCAAAATGACTTGCGATTGTGAGCACGTGATGCACAAAGCACATCTCCCAAAACTGTTGTACCGTTTTGTATTCAGGCTTCCTTTGTGAGAAGTTAAACGCTGTAAAATGTTGAGTATATGTATGAGTATACCTGAATATCGGAAAACACGCCATATCCTCTCCATGAATATCCCGGAAACTCCTGTTCGCTGTATCTGAAACGTACTGACGTATTCTCCGGTGTGCGGCCATCTTCGATTTCAGAGAGCAGTTGAAACAGGTCGGCATGATAATGTTTGGGTAAAGGTCTAGAAAACAAACATTATTAAAAGTGAAGAATATTTTGGTGCGGCCAAACAACATAGTTCCATAACAATAAGACAATCGAATTTTGAGCCTCTTGGATCAGTATTCAGCGACGTTTTGATTTTTACTTCATTTTGCATGCATACATACATAATGGTCCATTGGGTGATTCCAGCTATGCCTATAGCCTAAATTTTGATCAAGGCAAGAAGAACGAAATCCAACAGCACAGGAAGAAAAAGCGTCGTAGAATGAGTAAAACTTCAAAGATTGGTTGTTAAATGTTGTAAAATGAAGAAAATATAGTCCTGTGAAGTTCGCAAATCTTGTATATATTTGTAATTACGCGCGGTAAAAATAACCACTTTCAGCTCAAAAATGGTTATTTTTAACGCGCGTAATGCAAATATTACTACAAAATTTGCGAACTTCACAGGGTTATATTTTCCTCATTTTACAATAATTCGCAACGAAACTTTGCAATTTTATTCATTTTAAGATGCTCTTTCCAGCTATGGTCATTTCGTTCTTCTTGTCTAGATCAAAATTACGTATATAGGTAGTATAGCTGGTATCCATTTGCCGGACTCTGGCTTTTTCCCAGATAGGCAAATACACATTAGGTACTTCTTAGGTATAGGTAGTTCTATGGTTATATGTCAGACATAAGGGTAGTATACAGTAGTTACTATACCTGTCACAAGTTCGTCCTCCAACATTAGAACGGCATTTACATTGCCCAGTACTCTTGCCACAAATCTGACTGTATGAACCACCAACATCACAATTACAACCTGTAGAAAAATATCATACATTTACATGAGACACTTTTGGTTTATCCAACTTTACAAGCTTTACAGGTTGCACTCATATATATCTTATATACACTAGATAGTGCATCTAATTATTCTGTAATTTAAAAATTGAAGTCGTGAGTGCAGTCTCAGGATATTCCCATGAAGTGAGAGGATTCATACGTTTTCTATTTCTTAAACAGGGAACTTAAACATTAAGTTTATTCCATTTTTAAACTATTCAAATGATGAAAGTTATTGTTGTTTTTTAAGCGTTTATTAGCGAGTGGGACCTACCAACATGGCCGTCATCTATTCAAATGGAAGTAACCGCTGGAATATTCTTGGCTTCAATTTTACTAATAGAGATGCACTATCTAGTGTATATAAGATATCTATGGTTGCACTGGTTTAAGAGAGCATGTATATAGAATTAGAGATCGATAACTTCTTGTGTGTGGCTGAGACCGCAAAAGAAACACTACCCGTAGTCAGTCATTGCCGTTAGATCTAGACATAGTGGATTTTTGACTGCTGCCCAAAATTTTATCGCTTGGAATCTAGCAGATAACCAATAGAAGTAGACAAGCGGTTGAAGCTCTGAGAAACGTTTGACGCTTAATCGGCTATCCACCCTGTGTATATCTCTCTATTTTGCGCTAAGCAACCTGGCGAGGATGTGCAGTGTGTCAATTCTATTACAGAACATATAAAGAGAAAAATTCCAATCTCCGATGGTTATTCAACGAATATTAACGATGGTTATATATTCATGTCTCGCTGTTTATGAATGCTGACCCTAATGAGTACCCTGACCCAGACAAAACAGAAAGACATGAAGCTCTATCTCGTCTTCGTTCTTCTACCATCGTTCAGAACGAATACTTTGGCAGAAGAACAAAGACGGGATAGAGCTCCATGTCTCACTGCTTTGTCTGGGTCAGGGTAAGGATTAGGGTCAGTATTCGCAAACAGCGAGACATGGATCTATAACGGGAAGACACGTTAATTAAGTTAAGCAACCACCGGTGAGCCCAAACCCAAACTGAGCATGCGCAAGATAATGTGTGGCGCGTTCCTATGCCACATTGGGTGATGGCTTTTGTATATGCAGCAACGCTTTACCTGGTTCGCTGCGGATGAGCGCCTTTATTGACATATTCAAAAAGTCTTTGAAGAAATTTTTATCTAAGAAAACTTTTGCTTGAAGTTTGTTTGACTATAATTTAAGTTGATACGTTATAGATTAGTATTTGTAGAATATGAATATAACGTAGTTCTTTTAATTCTTGTAATACGTATTTGAAAATGTACTTCCATTGATATATACGCAATATGAATTTTATAGTAATAATAATAATAATGTGCAGACGGGCAAAACATTATCAAGTATACGCCTTCGTATTTCGTTTCTTGCTCAAGCTTTCTATTTCCCCCACCTAAAAATCGCACATAACCCTCTCTAAAATATGTCCCTCCCCCTATAATATAATTTGCACCTGAGGGCTGAGACACTGGCCATCATTACCTGAACATCCAAAAGCATTTGAGTGCCTGAGAGAATAATATCCATCTTTACAAAATTCGCATCTCTTGCTAGTCACACGTTCCTTACATAAACACCGTCCAGTTTTTTCGTCGCATATTTCAATACCACCAATAACCCCAGCAACGTTACAGCGACATTCTTGACACCCAAATGGATTACTTGCAGTAAGGTTGAACGTTTTCGGTTTACATTCACTGCAGTCTTGACCTTGAACAAACCGCTTACATTCACATTGACCCTGTTGACGAAAATTGAATTAAACAACATCAATCTAAATCTCGAACGATAATCAGATAACTGAGGATTGCCAAAGATACAACTGCCTGAAATCAGGGTCTGAAATTTGCAGTATCCCGATATCCACTGGATACTAAAATTTGGTTTTGGATACCAAACTGTGAATGACTTATATCCCAACTGGATACTAAGGAAATTTCAAACATTAGGAAAATGTTAAGCACTTCTAGCAGCCTCCTGATAGCATTTGAACACTATGAGTTTGCTACGCAACCCTTTCCTCATATTATGCGCATTCGTGTGTACTAATGAATTGTTTAGTTGTTTACTGTTGAATCTCCTGTTGTTATTGTAATTTGTAACAGTGAGAGTTATGGAAACTTATGGATGGGATAGGGTATAATACTTATGGTATCCAGTATCCAGAAAGGGAATACTGGATTCTCAGGGGGGATACTAAACTTTGAATCGTGGTTTCCCAATTTCAGACCCTGCTGAAATTGTAACTAAATAGTATTGTGTGTATCTATGTGTCTATGTATCTAAGTTTCTTTTGATATTATGTGTGTGCCTTTGTATTATATTAGTTTCCTTGTTATATAGTGACTGCTCATTATTCTACTTCATATAAATTTATGTAACTTATTCATTAATATTTGACACGAGGTAGTCTAGCAATTAATAAGCCTCGGCTTCTAGTTGGACTAGGTCAAATTGTTGTTTTATTTTGTAATTATTTGTGGCAAATTAATAAACTTCATTCAAATGCCTAGAAATATATGGAAACCTACAACAAGTACCGTCAATGTCTGCTTTTGTCACGTGATCGCTTTTATATTCAATAGTATAAAAGCTCATGTAATTTTCCCAACCCCCGCCACTAACTTCCCGACGAAAAGCCTTCGCTCGAAACGTCGGCGTTCTGTTTGTATTTTTCAGGTAGCTGTATCCCACTGCACTGTACTGCACTGTGCATATACTATACTGTACTGTACTGTGCTGTGCTGTGCTGTGCTGTGCTGTGCTGTGCTGTGCTGTACTATATAAAGCCTTGGTACTGCATATGGCGAAACAAATCTCAGCCCAGAGAGCGAAATGATATCAATTTTCAACCTGTTTGTTATTGACATTCAACTAATCAAGCAAGGTAATACATCTCCATGGATACTGTTCTATGGGAACTGTTCTATGTACCTTTGTTGTTTGCACTGGAGACGTTGGATTAAGAGGGGCGCTACGGGTATTAAAATGATGGTGCTACGAGTTTTTAACATATTAAAACGGGCGAACCTTCCCCCTCCCCTCCCCACCCCACACCGGCGACAGACTTTATGGGAAGTACGTCTGTGTCAGCGGCTTGTGCTAGGCCACGATAATACATTTTAAGCCTAATCACACGCTGCATAAACCAGGTTTGAGTATGGTTACATACCGTGTGCGATGAGCTGCAATCTCCTAACGGTCGTCCAGGCAATGGTCTTACACCAGCAGGATCACATCCGCACTCCTGACAGTCAGGGAAACCATAGAAACCTGGCTTACAACGATGACAGAATGTTCCAGAGAAGTTCTCTTTACATCGACACTGACCATTGTCGGGGTTACAGTAATCGCCCAGTGAACCTTGTCTGTCACATGTACACGCAATGCATCTCGGGTAATCATAATAACCAACAGCACACCGCTCACATTTGAAACCTGCATACTGTGGCTTACAACTACAGCGACCGCTGCCATCACACTCAGGGCCCGTAGAACCATCGCCAAAACACTGACAAGCTACAATGAAATATAAAGATTTTTATAGGTGAATATCCTGAGGTGAATATTCTTCTTTGCACTATTACCAAAACAAAATGTCTTCGCGTTTTGTTTCAGTTATAAAAAGCATTTTGTTTACTAAACGAAGCGCAATTTCGACAGACATATACACAATGTTTTGTTTAACAGTGTGTAAAGGTATTTTTTGAAACTAATTCTAACGAATAAAACTAATAAAAGCTTGTAAATACTGTTTTATTTACAACTATTCCAGGAGCTGCGATAGAAATTGTATAATAAAGCGTTGTTTTTGGGTCATTTTGTCTTGTTATGGTACAGTATATGCATGGTAACAATTATTCACCTCGGCGTCGGTGAACGGTGCAAGGCTTCGTGTCTTGGTGTACCGTAAACTTCCGAATATAAGCCCCCCCCCCCTCTATAAGCCCATCAAATTACTAACGGTCACACCATTCCGTATATAAGCCCCAGATATAAGCCCCCCGAATATAAGCCCACCCCTACATAAGCCCACCCGTATATAAGCCCATCACACTATAATACCGGTAAATTACACAAAAAAATCCACTACATAGCATTAAATTTCAACTAAGACTACGTGCAGTTTCGGTCCGTAAATATAGTACGTGTTTTCTTACTATTAACCTAAGATGTGGTCCGTGTATAAGCCCTGAAATTATTTTCGGGTTGGTCGCCCAGTTTTGAAAACGGGTGTAAAACTAAAATTACAAACTTATTTTCAGTCATTAGGTTCATTTGAAACTAGCGTTGGATGACGAATATGGCGTATGCCGCTCAGTAGTATTTAGGAAACTTTTATGGGCATTTTGTTGTCCTAGTGTCATTAGACTGCGAGTAGTCCATCCTTTCCGCGGGTTTAGATTCCCGGGCGTGCGAGGAGAAAGGAGGGACTGCCGACAACACATCAAAAAAAGAAATACGCCCACTTTTCGCTCTTGTCAAGTTGGCTCCGCCTTTGCATAAACATTACTTATATCCAATTAAATCTATCCAATAGAAACCGTTAATGTCATTTTATTTAGAAAATCAACATTCAGTCTGGAAATTATTTATAGCATAATTGCTATACATATCAGATTTGATTGACAGACACATCGATTTCGACCAATGGGAATTTTGCGTTGTGTGAGCAACGCGTATTTCGTTTCTTGATGTGTTGTTGGAAGTCCCTCCTTTCTCTCGAGGGACTGCTCGCGGTCTATACTCTCATTAGTTATAATTAATGTACGGGGTTTGCCTTGTTGCCAATCCCTTATCTAACTCGCCTTTTCCTGTTTGTAATGTCTACTACAGTGGAATCCCGTCTTACGGCCACCCCGTTAATACGGTCACCTCGATAATACGGTCACTTTTTTTTGTCCCGGCGAAATACTAATACATTTTATAATAAAGTTACCCGGTTAATACGGCCACCCCGTTAATACGGCCAACGGCCATATTGTAGAGTCCCGAACTAAAGAAATCACCCGTTAATACGGTCACTCAAAAAAGTTAATGTGTTTACGGACGGAAATGCAGTATAATTTAAGACACCTTGTGCAGTGAAACACAAAATTCAAGTTGCATCATATTACTAATTTTTTAATTTTTATTATCAGTCGCGCAAAGGAAAAGAAAGAATACAAGGTTCTTTAGCGACGTTGTATTCCCTAACATTGTTTCCTTAAAATTAGTGGAAACTTTATCTGAACTTTATAATGTTTAGTTATTAATTGGTATTATGGTGGGGTATGGTGTTATTGTGATTTTCGAATAAACATAGCTTTCATGACGTCACAATTGAAATTTGATCTCACTCCGTTAATACGGCCACCCCGTTAATACGACCATATTATTTCGGCCCGTTGGTGACCGTATTAACGGGGTTTCACTGTATTTTTGTAAATTTTAGTGAGTTCGATTAAAGCTTATTAGAAACATGAATTACCTCGACAGGATGGATATCCATAATATCCTATTGCGCAATTACCACAACGAGTTCCATTGAATCCAGGTTTACAGATGCAAGTACTAGATCCTTTATCACACACCTCATCAGTCACGCCGTTCGTATCACATGAACACGCTAAATATAAAACAATATCATTACAACGGTCGACAATGTAATGGATGATTCTGCCAGCTATAGACGAAATTTTGATCTAGACAAGAACAACCATAGGTGGAAAGAGCATCTTAAAATGAGTAAAATTGCAAAGTTTGGTTGCGAATTGTTGTAAAATGAGGAAATATATAGCCCTGTGAAGTTCGCAAATTTTGTATATATTTGCATTACGCGCGGGAAAAATAACCATTTTTGAGCCGAAAGTGATTATTTTTACTGCGCGTAATACAAATATATACAAAATTTTTGGCTATATTTTCCTTCATTTTACAACATTTAGTAACCAATTTTTGCACTTTTACTCATTCTAAGACGTTCTTTCTAGCTGGAGTGTTGGATTTCATTCATCTTGCCTTGATCAAAATTTAGTCTGTAGCTGGAATCACCCATTAGAGAGGGTTATAAAGATCAAAGGTCCAGACGCACCGGACGCGATTCGAGAGCAAATTTTTAATGATATGTAGACCAAATAACTCCCAAATGTTATATGTACTTCTATATAATGTGCTTCTAAATATTTGGAAAATTTAAACTAGGATCAAAGTTATCGGTCAGTGAAAATCGAAAAATCGCGTCGCGTTGTCGAATCGCATCCGGTGTGTCTTATACAAGCAACAAAATTGCAGCAATTTCCAACAAAATCTGATTTAAAAAACAAGGCATGCTTATTGAACTGCCACCAACCCAAATGTGTTTTTAGGTATGTGTATAATATTTGGGGAATTCTAAGAAGAAATGTAGTATATATCTTTATAGTAAAAAAACCTCATCTTGATTAACCTTTTCACTGTATAGAAGCTACCGGATATGATATTATTAGATTATTTCAAAATTAGTTCTCTTTTGTTGTTTTTTTGCATATTTGGAAACTTTGACAGTAATTAAATTGATCAAGATGAGATTTTTTGCTATAAAAGATATTACATTTCTTTTTAAAATGATTCAAATATTACACATACCAAAATCATATTTGGTGTTAGTGGCACTTTAAACGTTTACAGTATGATGATGATATTGCCTCTTATTTTTCACCCTGCTCGGTTTCCTTTGTTGTTATCGGGGAATATATTCAATATTCCCCTCTAATCAATTTCCGTTTAATAATCCCCTCTAATATTCACCTGCAATTAATAATCCCCTCTAATATTCACCTGCAATGTCTTTGCAGCACAAAAAATGAGAAAAAAACAACATAACGAAGGCAATATGGCATTAAGAATTATTTCTATTCTTACTCATTAATGCGACCTCGCAATGTGAAAAATAAGTACGTTATTTTGAGGCACCTCGGGGATATGTGTTTATTCACCTCGGCGCTACGCGCCTCGGTGAATAAATCACATATCCCCTCGTTGCCTCAAAATAACCTATACGTATTTAGTAATTTGCCTCTTAATCAACACGCATTGAAATTGACTCCAGGGGCGTAGGAAGGTTCTAAAAGTTGGGGGGCAAGCTTTGAGGGGCACTTTCCGAATAAAAAAGGGCATCTAAAAAATATTTCCGGGCGGAGGTCTCAAAATTTTTTCCGGACATACCAAAAAAATGTTTTCCAGATATATCACATTTTTTTCCTAAATATGAAAAACATTTTTCCGGGCACACCAAAAAATTTTCCGGATATATCAGTTTTTTCCGGAAATGAAACAAATTTTCCGGAAAATAACATAAATTAAAGTTTTCAAAAGTGCCCTTTGGGCAAAAAAAGGCAATCCTTAAGACCTTTTTCACGCAAGAAAAGGGCACTTGGCTCCCGGAAAAAGGGCACTTGGCAAAACTTGGGGGCCTGCCCCCCCCCCGATTCCTACGCCCCTGATTGACTCCACAAAATTCTCGTGCAAATTCTTGCTTGTCTACACACGTAAAAACGCGCAAATTGTACAGGTCTACAAACAAATTTGTTCGCAAGCTGTTGACAAGTTGTGCTCGCACTGCTTATATTGCACCTAGTTGCTGTAACAAGTTTGGGAAAAGCTGATAACAACTTGTAACAAGCTTGATGGCATTATCAAACTTGCTACGAGGTTGTTCTAACAAGTCTGATACAGTCATGATATAACAAGAATGTTACAAGATTGACGACACGAGGTTGTAACAATATTGTTGTGTCATGACTGTAACGGACTTGTTGGAACAACCTTGCAACAAGTCTGATAATATCAAAAAGGTTGTTACAAGTTGTTAACAGCTTGTTCCAAACTTGCTGACAACTTGGGAGAGCAGTGCGAACACAATTTGTTGACGGCTTGTTGGCAGACTTGTTACAAGATGTGAGATTTTTGCGTGTGTACTCTCATCAACGACAATCCTTTTTTTAGGTGATAGTTCATATTCAAAAAGTCAAAATATCACGTGCCTCTACAATTTGGATACCCATAATAACCATCAGCACATTGGTTGCATCTTCTGCCTTTAAAATTTGGTAAACATCGACATTGACCAGTACCAACTATGCATGCATCAGTATAAGAACCACGTTCATCACATTGACACTCTAAAAAGGAGTATAACAACTTTATTGGACTACAGTATAACAACACTAACATAAATTATTATGGCCCAAAAAGGAACATGCAAGCAGACGATACGTCGGTCCCATGCAGGCTTTTAGCCAGGGTCCTAAAAGAGGGCGTCCAATTTTGGCATAACAATACGTCTACAGTAAAGAGGGGGGGGGGGGGTTAAGAAAACGTTCCTCTGGAAAACCTTTGAAGTTTACGTTACTTTATGTCCAAGCTCGTTCGAAATTTTTCAAACACACTTGGCTTTGTGAGTTTGTGCCGCTATGCTTCTTTACTTAACTACGACATTTTCTCCATCAAATTGATCAAAATGTCAAATGTATAATAATAATGAGAATTGTAGCTATTTCGTTTCGGATATATTAATATCCTTATGGAATCATTGAAAATAATTTCCCTTTTCCCCCAGAATTTGGGCGTCCAAAGGCGTCCACTTTTTGTTCTATATTCGTCCAGGGACGCCCTTCTGGCTAAAAGCCTGGTCCCATGCAAGGCACCTCCCTTAACAATTATAAAATAGCACACTACTGTATATAAAGCAATAAATAATACCAAGTTATAACATAGTCATAGAGCAAAACATATATATAGGTTTAAATAGCAGGACGGACAACGATTTATCGCAAACCATCATTATCATCATGGAAAAGAGGGAATGGAATGATTTGAACAACACAAATTACTGCGCGCGGTTCCTATATGATATTATTAAACCTTGGTTAACCTACAATGTAACTTCATCAAATTATTCCGTCCATCTTTCCCTAGCCTATACACCGCAGTATCTACAGTATACAGGTATCTAGCAACTTACCAACACATAGTGGAAAGTTGTAAAATCCACGAGCACATTGATCACACTTTGCTCCGGCATAATTATCTTTACAAGGACATTGAGCACCATTTGCTTCACACAGTCCATCTCGTGTACCGGCTGCGTTACATTGACACGCTGCAGGAATAAAACACACAGTATAATTGATCATTTCACTCGGGTTTTTTTTTTACACTTTAAAAACACTCTGGTAAACATGTGTCTGGTTAACCTACAAATAACCCTACTGTATTTGGGTTAACATTAAATTCCTGGTTAAATTCAGAGACCCCAAAGGCATTTTTGTTCCGACGAAGCATGCCCCAGGATTCCCTTAGCATTGTTACTCACAAATTAAGTTGTCCCCCCCCCAAAAAAAAAAAATTCTGGTGGCGCCACTGTGCCCTTGGGATGGAAATGAAAAATAATATTTTTGGAAAATTTTCTGTCCATGGAAAATGTTCTTGAGTGGAAATGAGTCTTTAGATAAGCAACTTACGTTTGCAATCAGGAAAACCGAAATACCCGACACTGCATCTTTCACATGTCATTCCTGTATAGTTAGCTTTGCATTTACAACGTCCATCTCCATTGAAACATTCTCCAGTCGAAAACTGTCCATCACAGTTACACGCTAGAAAAAATAACAGAAACTTCAAATTAATAAACCTGTCTTTTTGTCCGTTTTAAAGTTGCTTTTAAGACGCAGTTTCAAAAAACAATAATTTGGGCCAAGTCAAGTTACAAGTCATTTTGTCTGTGATGAAGTGAAGATGTAAGTCATCCTGTGCAGTTCTTTCCGCAACGAACTAAGGAGTCACCCATGACAATTATATATTAATATACTAGCTCACAATCATACTACGCATCAATGAATTTCCAGTGCAAGTCGTAGAAGAGTTGATTTTCACTAGATACATGCTGTACAAAGGGTCTGAAATTTAAATTTTTTCTCAGCGTCCAACTGGGAAAGCACGATTCAAAGTTTAGTACCCCCCCCACCACCACCCACCCACCCTGAGTATCCCATTTCTGATGACTGGTTACCATAAGTGTTATACCCCGTCCCATCCAAATAAGTTTCCATAACTCTCACTGTTACAAATTACAATAACAACAGGTTCAACAATCAACAACTAGACAATTCATTAATACGCACAAATGCACATAATATGAGGAAAGGGTTGGGTGGCAAACTCATAGTATAGAGACTGTCAGAGGTGCTTAACATTTTCCTAATGTTTAAAATTTTCTTTGTATCCAGTTGGGTTATAAGTCATTTGCAGTTTGGTATCCAAAACCAAATTTTAGTATCCCGTGGATATCGTGATACTGCAAATTTCAGACCCAGGCTGTACAGTATATTTACGACTTTACGCTTGACTTGCATTAGTAACAAGTTATTTCTTGCAAATCCAAGTCAAGGTATAAGCCATTTTGTTCGAGTCCAAGTCACAAGTCGTTAATCTGATTATTTAAGTCACAAAAATTGCGACTCGAGTCCAAGTCGCATGACTCGAATCTGCATCTCTGAATTTACTTACGGACACAAGCATCCTTGCTCGTCATTGGCACTCCAGTTGGATTATAGAATTTGTGTTTACAAAACTGGCAGTTGTTTCCAAAGGTATTATCTTGACAATCAACACAAACTCCGCCACCACGGAATTCACCAGCAAGGTTCAAACTTCTGTTATTTTTTTCTACCGATTCACTAAAGTAACATCTGTCTGAATGTCCAAAACAGTTACAAGCTGCAAGAAGATATTGAGATATAATCACTTTATGCTTATAATATTACACATCACAAAAAAATAATACTATAATGCATGGTTTAGCGGTTAACTATTGCCAAACGTCTTGCGACACATTGATTTTCACTGCAGATATCATTGATATTGATTTTCCAACATTAAATTGTCAATTTTTGGGATAACCCGAAACTGACTACGCAAAGCAAGCCTGGAAATCAGTGCCGGTCATAGGACATCGTCCGGCCAAATTTTAACTTTTGTCCGATCAAAATTTTTATAACTGGACATGTGACCAGCGATTTAGGCTAGTCAAATCTCCAATCTCAAACAAAATTGACTTCATTTTTATCAATGAAACCAAAGTGCATTGAAAGATTTAATTACCAATACAAATCGCCTTCTTATAACATGGTTTATAGAAGATTTCAAAAAATTTCCGAGGCAGAATGCCCCCAGAGCCTCTGTAAACCCCCACCCCCGCTAATAAATGAGGCCAGGTGCACCCCTGGGAAATTGTCTAAGAAATATTGATAAATGTCTGACCATTTTAGACTTGGCCAGACAGTTGTCCTTTGCAGGAGAATATTTTCATAAAAAACAGAAGATGAAACTTACGCAAATGTACAAAGCCGTACATATAAAAGCATTTGAGTTATAAAGTTTGTAATGCAAAGATACTGTAACAGTAGACAAGACAAGTAGTAGTTCGTCGGTAAGATCTTAAAGTCCCTAATCAGGGTTCGTAGTCTTCAAGACCAAAAAAATTCAAACACTTTCAAAGATTTTTTCTGCCTATTTTCAAAGACTTTTCAAAGACCTTTGAGAGCAATCAGCTGTCGAAAAATTGCGAGTGTAAGCACCATTTTTACCCAGTAATTAGTCCCGTCAAATCACATCCTAAAATGCGCATTTTCGTCGATATTTGCGAAAATCTTGATTCAATCAATCTATTTTATTAGCTAGGAAATCGTATAATCAATTCCTCACTAAAGAATTTAAAGACTTTCTTCGCTTTTTCACACAATTTAATGACTTTTCAAAGACCTCAAAGACCTGCATTCCAATTTAAAGACTTTCAAGGATTTCAAAGACCGCTACGAATCCTGCTAATACACCCTTCTGGAAAGTGCGCCACGTTGACTATACAGCCTTGTTCTCGTGATCGAGACGATTAAACGTTAGCCTACGGTGTAGACCCCAGCAGAAACACGTTTCTTGAGGGGTCTACGAATAAACGAAGAAAAGCTTGCCCGGCCTACGTCATATCCGTTTTACGTTTTGGGTAAATTAACTTCAATTTATTCAAATTTCTGAAGCGTGAGTGAATGTAAATTTTCATTTGGCGCTTATTAAAGGCATTAAAATGTTCCATGGCGGGCTTTGTGCAATACAAATGTGTTCTTTGCTTCAAAGTTCCGTCGAATAAAATTCTTGGACAGCAAGGACACTGTACGTAAGGAGTTAGACGACCTTTCCTTCTCCATTTCACCTACAAATAGCATTTGTAAAGCATGCCTGGCCGCCTGGTGTTGGTAAACAAACGGTGAAACGGAGAAGCTTCAAAGAACGGTTTAATATGTGAGCTAGAGCCTAGACAATACGATAACTAACGTGCACGAAATAGCATTAAACGCTATTGATAAATGTCGTGAACCAACTAGGATTCGAGCCGACTTGCGATAAAGCTTTTATGCCGGCTACATAGCCTACATTTAATAGTGTGAAATCGACTTTGTCTTCGACTTCGGAAATTAGATATCTTGACTTGACAAGTTTCAAGCCTTCAACAGCCTAACAGTTTGTACGAATGACAAGAACTTTTTAGTCTGTTCGAACATGTGTTTAATGGTTGGGTATATATATAGTCAGGGTATATTTTATTGCACAAAGCCCGCCATGGAACATTTTAATAAGCGCCAAATGAAAATTTACATTCACGCACGCTTCAGAAATTTGAATAAATTGAAGTTAATTTACGCAAAACGGATATGACGTAGGCCGGGCAAGCTTTTCTTCGTTTATTCGTAGACCCCCCACGAAACGTGTTTCTGCTGGGGTCTACACCGTAGGCTAATTAAACGTGAGCTTCGGTAGCGCAGTCATCAGAGCAAGCGCCTTTCACCTCTGAGATGTGAGTTCGATTCTCGCTACGGGTCTATGTGACTTTAGAGTCAGTCAACGTTCTGCCGAAAGTCGTGGGTTTTCTCCGGGCGCTCCAGTTTCCTCCCACATGCAGGCAAAGTCGACAGGGTGGGTTAGGACAAACATATAGTTATAGGAAAGTGATATCACAATTATTGTAAAAATAAATAGTCTAGGTTAAGTAGATAATACAAGTAAGCGTAATACTTGATGTAATCAGTCACTGAAAAGCCCCGTTGGGGAGTGAGCTGAATAATACTGTATTTAACAAATATAAAACATTTTCCATGTTGATATACAGTTATATCAACACGAGTGGAAATTGGGAAAACTCGGAATTGTGTGGAAACACTCCGCCCGGTTCCACACAATTTCGAGTTTTCCCAATTTCCACTTGTGTTGATATAACTGTATATCAATACGGAAAAAATGTTTTATATTTGTTTTATAATATAGCACAAAGAAACATAAAGAAAGAAATTTTCCGACGTTTCCGTGTTGACATTGAGTTACATCAACACGGCTCTTAGCCAATCAGCGTTCAGAAATTACAAATGCTATATTATAAATGTATGTATGTATGTATATGACATCATGACATACACGAAAAGGAGGCTCTTTACCCAAAGTGACGTTCTTTCCGGAAGGGTGTATTCTTTCCAGGTACGCAAGATTGGTAAAATAAAATATTTGTCTTCTGTACCTTCACAACCCTCTCCACCTTCAAAGGCAGATTTCCATTTATACTGGTTATATTGAGGACAACATTCAGAGCATGATGGGCCACAGGTGTTCTTCTGACATTGGCAGAACGTACGCTCCTCACTGGGTCCGTGTAAGCATTGATCCGCATAACCATTACAGATACACAGGCCTCCAATTGTGATGTCTTTTATCGAATAGAAATACTAAAAAAAGTAAGTATACTGTAAGTAAGTGGGGGTGTCCTAATTATTCTTACTTACAGCTGAGAGCTAACAGGGTTCTCCTAATCAGGCGGTAACCTATAAAATTTACCGTTTCCACGACCACTGATTACCGCCTGGAGAAGCCTAGAGATCGTGTTCATCTGTATACTAGGTAATAGGATGGTTAGCCTGCTCACAGGCTATAGTATGGTTTCGAGTGCAATTTGGGGGAAACATGCACGAGTGAGTTTTTCAAAGACGATCAAAATTTTCCAAATTGCACGAGAAACCGTACTATTAAAGGAATACCGAATGGTTTTCCGTGCAGGATTGCGTGATCCATGCACGAGGGATGTCGCGAGACTTTCAGAAAGAGTAAAAATACTCGAGCCGCAGGCGAGTGTATTTTTACGCTTTCCGAAAGTCGAGTAACATCCCAAGTGCATGGAACACGCTATCCTGCTTGGAAAATCATTTGGTAATTGTTTTATAAAATAACTACAGCGAAACAATGACATTTTGAGAATCCCGCGAAAATACGGCGAAGGCATTTTAATTCCTCGTGCAGGATAAGTTGCGAAGTTCGGAAGTTCATATTGGAATTCACAAGCCAATTTGTAAACAAAGTTTCTGATTGGTCCCTGTAGCAAAGGAAGCCAATCAAATGCATTGTTTACAAACTGGTTTGTGAATTCATTATGAACTTTTGAACTTCGCAACGAACTTGCGAGAAGTTCGGAACATTTGTGGTCAAAATTTTTTGAAATCGACTGTATATAATAATATACTTGAAAAAATTATGCAGTCATGTCCATGCGTAGGTCACATGCGAAATAGATAATTTTCACGTTTTGTACTGTATTTCATTTTCTTGCACTGTATTTCACTTTTTTTTACTGTATTTCACTTAAGTTCTTTGCAAGTTTGCATGACGATAAAACATATAATATTATTGTTTGTGGAAACACCACGTACATTCATTACTGCAAAGCTTTCGACCCGTAAACCCGGATCTTCATTAGTGCCAGTGCTCTCATTTCCCATTGCCTGGAATTTCTCAACCTCGTACCCAGGATCCTCGTCTTTAAAGGTTCTGGTGCCCGCGTTGGGAGCACCAGAACATTTAAACACGGGGACCCTGGGTATGAGGTTGGGAATTCCTTAGATTCTCGTTAAAAAATTCCTCAGATTTAGTAAAATTTCCTTAAACGTGGGGTATGATTGAGAATTACAAAGTTACGTTAGGTTCCCAGAATTTTTGTCTTATTTGGAAATTGGGATTTTGAGCAGCATCATCAAAAGGGATTTCAAATGCGAACACTGGCACTGACGAAGATCCGGGCTTACGGTCGAAAGCTTTGCAGTAATAAATTTACGTGGTGTTTCCACAAACAATAGTATTATATGTATTTCACTTGTTGGCACTGTATTTCGAAAAAAAATTCAGCACTGTTCTTAGCCATTTGTTTCATGTATATTATTAGTTAAGAAATAATTAGTTATACGTTGTGCAAAAATCATATAATCAATCAGGTACTAATAACATTCCACCCTATTAGTTGTTTACTATCGATATAGATTGAATACAGAGATGTCCTAGAAACCTGATCGATGAAGATGGCGAGATGATTATATTATGCAGCGTGTGCCTGGGGACTGAGTAATTAAATAACTACCAATGTTTATTTAAGGTGCTTGGTGTAAACACAGTTTTGTGTAAATGGTGTGTTTAGAAAATATCTTTAGTATTCTTTAAAAAATCATTAATAATTCACGAGGAAAATACAAAAGAAATTAATGTTTAATCAATGTTTGTAAATCGGATAAAGATTTGTCCTGATTTACATAAACAATGTTTATTTTTAAAATTACTTCGCCAATGAACTCATAAGATGGGTCATTTTTTAAGTACGATAAAACATTCGCATCCGATCTGTATCTGATATACAAACTCTCGCCTTCGGCTCGAGTTTGTATATCAGATACAGATCGGCTGCTCATGTTTTATCTAGTAAATAAAAGTTTAAATCTTCTCTCAAAATGGGGGAAATGCCATTTCAGAGACTCCCCTAGGAACTCCCCTAGACCCCCTAGAAATTTGTAAGTGCGATGCTATACTTACCCTTCGTGTAACTGTGGGATCACCTTTTGCAAGAGGCAAATATTCTCCCAAAAGTGTCTTGGCTCTCAATAGGCGCAGTCGTACATTTGTAGCTTTCATCCATTCCTTTTTAAAACAGAAAATGATTGACAAATTTTTACTATGATAAATGCGGATTATACATGTTTTTTTCACATACTTCTCTTTTTTACAACAATCTCTTATAATTTTACTGTGTCTAATGCCACTCAAAGGGCTAATCAGAATCATGTTAACCCTTTACAATGTAAGTGGCAAAGCATCCTACTTTATTATTTTACAATTTTACCTGGTCAAGGGGGGTGTGGTAGTGCCACTCAATGGGTTTAGAGGTCATTGTCTCATTGACACTCGAGTGGCATCAAATAATTGAATGGTTTAGGTTTGACACGATGAAGAGTTACCTGTAGTGTCGGACTGAACTGGTACTGCTTTGCACTGGGCCTGCCATTCACAAGGGAAATATACATCTCTCCATTCTCAAATGGTGGAATTTCAGAATATTTACTGACACACTGTTTTTGATCATCTCTGCTAAGTGGTACAAGAGGGTTAACTTTAAACAGATCCAAGCATTCACTGCGTGATGGTGCGAAATAATACCATGGGGTGTACGTCTGACCAAAATCTGTCGATCTTTCCAAAATCCATGTCCCAGGTCGGGGTGAATTGGCAGTTTTGATAACAATATACACAACATGGAATTCCTAAAGGAAAATTGTACTATAAGGGCACTGATAAACTATGCAACATGCCTTGCAATTGAATTCTGTTGTGACACGAGTTGCAAGGTGTACATGCCTTGCACCATTTTGATTGCAACAAGCATTGCACAAAGTAAAATCAGGTTCTACTATTCTCAATGATTGTGGCAACACTGCACCCTTAATTGCTACTTGTCTCGCAATATTTTCCCACTGCATGGCTTCACATTGGCTCTTGGCTGACAATTTGTTGGTAAAACGTTTGCATTTGCAACTTGGATGGTATTTTTTTAACCATGGCCATTGCTAGTTATATGAAATATATTGCTTGGTGTAACATCGCTTGTAATGCAATGCTGAAATGTTTTTCTTCTAAAATATTGCATATAGTGTAGGCTGTGTAGCAGCACCTAGCTTAACTGTCTTTTTATATGGCAAGGCTGCCCATCTGCAAAATATAGCATTTTGATTGGTTCCTGAGCAATCAGTAACCTGCAAACTGATCTCATAGTATGACCGCTAAGATGGACCGCTCACAAGGAAAAACTTAAATAACTCTTGTACATGTTCCAGTATAAAAAAAGACTACAAATATGTGATCCTTGGTAAATTTCTTACATAAATAACTTACTATTCTGCTCTATAGGTTGAGTTAAAACACTGTTTACCTGTATAAAAATGCTTTTTATAACATTTAAATAAATGCTGATCGACAGAGTGATACTTAATACTTGCCACCATTGAACGGCTTTTTCAGCGAACTAAGTGAAGTGAAACTATAGGCTTAAACTGCTCTGGGTTTTTTCTACTTTTAATATATTAATAAAATTATATTTGAAAATAAGTTATTTACAATTTTATTTTTGTCAAAAATTGTTTTAATGTTGAAGAACGCTCTTGTTTTTGGCCATACAGTATCATAAATAACTTATTGATTGAGCATGTTCAGTCCAGACAGTAGGATATTAGTATCGTTTTTTTTTTTGAAAAAAGAATTTAACTACCGGTAATACCGTCGGTACAGTCCAGACATCGAAAATGGCTTATGTGTGTGTAATTTGTTGGCCATTAATTTCTCCAGTATGTGAAGTACATGTTGTAAGATACAGTGAAGATTCTAGTTCCCAAGCTTTTGTATGCAGAAAATGTCAGAACTCCCTACCAGGAATATCGAAGATTAAAATACGTACTATTGTATATCTGGGCACTGTTAGGCGTAAATTGTGACCGTGGCCGAATTTTGAGGGGAGGTGTGGGGAGGTGCGCACCTCCCCTGAGATCGTTTTGCATCTCCCCTGAGAATATTTGCTCCTCCCCTGAAAAGTCATGCACCTCCCCTTGGAAAAGTTTCACTAATAAATCAAAGAGAAAATTCGACATTTTTTATTGCTTAAAGGGTATGAGCAACAAAAAAAATTATTGCTTCATCTCAAAGAGAATGAAAAAATAAGCTGATTGACTGTTTAATGCTCTATTCTATCTCATCTGGTTCCGAAGTTATACGCAAAAATGTGCAAAATATAAATTGCTGATTCAGCACAACGTGTGACGTCATTAGTTGTGTAAGTATGTTTATTGAATAGTAAACTTTAAGCTCAATTATTATTGGCTCAAATCAAATGAAATTTTGCATACAGATAGTACATGATGAGACGCATGGGAAAATACTTCTAATTTTGTTGTCAAGGCAACACAGTCGTTCCCAGGCCCCTTACACTGATTTTGAAAAACTAGTCGCATTTATCTATGTGTATGTCATTTTCGAATTATTATCATGCAAGTAAACTTTTGGCATGCATAGGTATGGTACACATACTTCTGATATTATTTTATTCTTATAAGTACCATGAATAAAGCTGTTTTATAAAATTAGCGCAAGGGGCCTGGGAACGACATTGTTACCTTGGCAACAAAATTAGAAGTGTTTTTCAATGCGTCTCATCATGTACAATCAGTATGCAAAATTTCATTTGATTTGGGCCCATAATAATTGAACTATGCTTCAGTTTAGTATTCATTAAACATACTTACCCAACTAATGACGTCACACGTTGTGCTGAATCAGCAACATATATTTTGCACATTTTTGCGTATAACTTCGGAACTAGATGAGATAGAATAGAGCATTAAACGGCCAATCGGCTTATTTTTTCATGCTCTTTCAGATGAAGCAATCCTTCATCCTCACACCCTTTAAGAAAGTTTTTCTGTAAAATTGAAACAATGACAGCCATTCATTTCTGTGTCAAGTACCCTTTTAATGTAATGTTTTGAAAGAAACTTTGCAGTAATTGTAATGAAGGGAGTTGTATTGTCATAACTTATTAATACACTGATACATATATATACACTGCATGCATATGTCACGTCGTTGACTTTGACCCGTTCTAAGCACCAACTTTCCACCGGGGCCGTGAGCTAGACAGCTGCACCTACCCTACATTTAATTCCACCTCCCCCACTTTTCCAACAAAATTCGGCCTTGATTGTAACAGCTGACAGGACCCTTTTTAGGTGACGCAGACGCACCATTTATGTTTATTACTTATCTTTAATTAAATAGTACTAGGCATTGTAGCAGTCAACAGAAATTCAGCCAGGTGGTGCTAAATGATTAATGATATATGTAAATTTCTGAAATTTTCTTTTGGGGATACAAGCGAGGATACAAGTGATTCACATTTTGGTATCCAAGGGTCTGTTCAAACAGTATGAGCCCAGCTAACTGAGAAGTTCCGCATGGCCTTTGTTAACACATCAGGCCTCGAATTTAGCGGCGGCCATGGCGGCCACTGGCCGTCGATGACCTGCTTGTTGGCCGCTATGCCCTCGAAATATACTGAAATCCACGGCCAGTAGTGGCCTTGCCCTCAACCACAGAGTACAGTACTTATGCTTTAGAATACCAAGTGTATGATTTGTAAAATTAGCCATAATCAACTTGTACTGTACAATCTTATTAGTTATAGTTTAATACGTAGTTACGAACATGTAAATATGATATGAATAGTTTCGTTTGGCATTTTTTTTAATTGTTTATTTTTAATTATTAATCTGTATATTTTTCTTGTCTCATGGAAACAAACGTTATTTGAAACTTACTTCAGAATAGCAACTGAATAAAATTTTCAAACTGGCCTTGATGCCCTGTATACTGGCCTTGATGCCTTGAAAAACTTAGTAACATTCAAGGCCAAACTGGTCTTGCCTTCATTTTTCCCAAATTCAAGGCCTGATTGTCACATAATGTCATATATATATATATATATATATATATATATATATATATATATATATATATATATATATATATATATATATATATATATATATATATATATATATGTATATATGTATATATGTATATATGTATATATGTATATATGTATATATGTATATATGTATATATGTATATATGTATATATATATGTATATGTATATGTATATGTATATGTATATGTATATGTATATGTATATGTATATGTATATGTATATGTATATGCATGTATATGTATATGTATATGTATATGTATATGTATATGTATATGTATATGTATATGTATATGTATATGTATATGTATATGCATGTATATGTATATGTATATGCATGTATATGTATATGTATATGTATATGTATATGTATATGTATATGTATATGTATATGTATATGTATATGTATATGTATATAAGAGAGAAAGGATGTAAGAAATGGATAGTAAGAGAGAAAGGATGTAAGAAATGTAATAAACCCAGGTGCTTGACATGTCAAAATATTCACGAAACCGACACTTTTAGGTGCACAGCTGATGGTAAACAATACAAAGTGAACCATCATTTAAACTGTGACTCAAAGTGTGTGGTTTATCTTTTGACATGTAAAGTGTGTAAGAAGCAATATGTTGGTCAGACGACAGATAAATTCCGCTTTCGATGGAACAATTAT